CTCGCTCTGAAACTCCGGATTGATTCTCGCAGGCTAGGAGTATAGTCTAATATCGCATTGTAGACACGTATGAACTCGGATCGCTCTGCTGGCGACCTGTCTAATAAGTCAGCTAGCGCAAAATACTGACTAAAAACGGAATCTCACAGTTGCATATTCTCTTCTTGTTCAGTCATCGACTCTGGCCCATTTCCCGCTCCAACTTCGCTTGTATCAGCGTCGGATTGTCCCTCAGCATGCAGACCGATTTGGAAGGCAGTTAGAATATTGACAAAGGGACTAATTCCACGTGGGATCCATTTCGCAGTCTTGTACAATGCATCGAGCACCCCACTTTGCTCTCTAGAATTGACAAAGGTTTCTGTGAGCCTTACACACCCTCACATTCTGACCACTCACCGAGAATATCGTCGCCTTTTCTTGAATGACTGTAGATCTGCAGCTCTTCATTTAGTTGGTCAAACTTCCGCTTCGCAGAACTGACAGGTTCAGGGGTGTAAGTTAGCGGCAAATTACTGGCAGCCGTAGGAGCCATGACAGTAGGTGTATGTACTGAATGTGACATTGGAGGGGGTTTGAGCGGGTTGGCTGCCAGTAGAGACGATCAGCATTTTTATGTGCTTCAGAAAGGTGCTAGAGCGTAAGATCCGAGGCGAGGTGAGTGGCGTCTTACTGATCGAGACCGGCCGATTGGTAATCATGGTCTCGATCGTTGAGGCGCAACTGGTTTCTTAATTTACGCTCCCATCCTTTGGGTTTCTGACTGACTGCAACTCTTTCGAAAACTTGGTCAATGTTCTAATGTTTGCTACTAGTGCCAACCAACACCTCATTTCGTCATATTTCATCATTGTGTCCAGGATTTCATGCCGCAGCTTAAAGATCACCTCCTCTCTCGCCTGCTAGACCTTCCTTATGATGGTGAGGAGCATACATTCTCTGATGCAGAGAGCAATACTGTCACCATTATTGGCGGGAAGATATACAAGCATAAGAATTTTCGCATTAACTATACGACCTATGACTTGCGTCGCAGCCAGGACTGTGTCAATCCGCGCAGTGAGGCTCCCGACATCATGGTCCTCGCTCATGAAGACAGCGATCACCCCTATTGGTACACCCGTGTTCTTGGGGTCTTCCATGCGAACATCTGCCACTCGGGTCTCAGGTCACGCGACCCGTCACCTCAGCATATTGAATTCCTCTTCATACGATGGTTCGGCCGTGATTTAACAACTCGAACAGGATGGAATGCGCGTCGCTTACCGCGAATTGGATTTATTGATGCTGACGAACCCGGTGCATTCGCCTTTCTTGATCCTCGTCACGTTGTTCGAGCAATTCACACTATACCCGCGTTTGCACATGGACGCACGGATGAGTACCTGCGGCCCTCAATCGCAAGGCATCCTCGAGAATGTGATGAGGATTGTGTCACGAGTTGACACGGCGTCTAACCGCTTTTTAATTTTTCCTTTTCGCGGGCTCGAACCCGCGACCTCTGTACTACTTGCCCGATACGGACACATCATTATCTACTGTACGATCAGATTAGATAGGACGGCAGTGCACGGCACAGCTCGGGCCCCGCTGACGCAGCCGCTCTGACTCACCGGCCCCCGGGGCCGCGTCGGCATGCTGCGCACAGACCAGCTGCGCACGGACCAACGTGCACAGCCTGCCCTAAATCTCCCCATGTATATAAGCCGGCCTCTGCTGCCCTAGGGACCTCAGTTTCGACCTCTTGTCCCTAGGTCAGTAAGCTCATGTATTACTTACCTACTTACCAATGCTAACTTACCTTGTCCCTAGCCTTAGGTTTGAGCCTCGCTCACCATCGCTTCGGTGAGAACCAGTCGGACGCCCCTTGCTTTTAGGTATTCCCCTGTCGCTTGACCTCAAGTCGCGACAGATTGGGTATATTATTATGTTAATATGTAAGCGAACAAATCTATCTACAGATGACATACTACGAACCTGATGCGGAACACATGTATAGCTTTGCTGATCGCGACATGTTCATGCGCTTCCGCGGCGGTGGTATCGGTCACATGGCAATCGCTGAAGTCACTGAACGCCTACTGCAGGAAAGTCATGAAGACATGCAAGATAACCTGGAGGGTCATCCGACAGACAAGCCCTCGATTCCTGATGCTTTGCGCCCGGCCCGGGGTAGAGATCAAGAGTACGCTGATGTGCGCCACTCGGAGGTAGTACTCGGAAATCCTCCAAACACGCTGACCGTGGGGATGCTGTGCCAGGAGGGTCCCAATAATATACAGGCCGAGGAAGCAGACTACGGATATATTGACAATGATGCCGAAGACATAGATGATGGGGGTGAGATTGGGACTGACGACGAAGATGCTTTGGGTCCTGAAGATGGGGAAGACGATGGTGGTG